ACGGAGTCATCGGGATCGTTAGACGTTGACCCGAGGTCTTCTTCACACAATTCAACAGACAAAAGTCCAAGGCAACCCTCCTGCGGTATCCGGTGAGGCCAATCTAGGAATCCCTTCGACCCGCCTTCTCAAACTAAATAAAAGGCACGCCGGTAACAGTCTATTATGGGATTCTTCGAAACCCAGCTACTCTTCATATCCTATGCTTTTTCTAAATATTTGAGGAAAAGTTAAGTGGTGGCGGATGAAATGTAAAGTGGCTGCAGTTGAAGCGTAAAATGGATTCACTTGTGAGCAAACATCTGCAAATTATGAGATTTATCACTAGGTAGACCTAGCTAGGCTATAAAAAGTAGGTAGGAGTTGATGTAGTCATTGAAGAAAGTGGCTTTTCCATTGGGACAAAAATCATCGGACAAAACCAAGTTTAGACATCGATATACATCTAGAGGTATGTGAGTCTATCTTCTATTGAGGCGAAAAACACTCTTGTTCTTTCATTTCAACTATGTGCTATGCCCATATCCACAAATGACCTTGAAAATTCACAAAGGTCTGCCCCGCGATTACCTGAATATTGAAATTTTCCTTGTGCTTGAATATCTAAGAGAAATCCGTTTATACAACCTTTCTTGTTATCATAATATTTCTCTACTTCACAGCCAACCTTGCCCTCTTAGACAACTCAAAAGGAACTTATAATGCATCTACAATTCAGTGTTATTCAATCTTTCTGCATGGTGTTGTTTATCAACAATGAATATCTATTGAAAACTCACACTGAAAAAAATTAAAATTCCTTGATAATAATGGATTCAGTGGGGAAAGCTCAAATATAAAATTAAGACAAGTAAAGGGCCCAAATTTTGCTGCTTATGGATTGAAGCTTTATTGTAATTTGTGACCTTAGTGACTGTTAGAAAAAAGACCACGAATATGATCATATATTGAGTCATCAAGCACTTTTAAGTGAATAAAAGGATGTATAAAATTGAATCAATGGTCAGAGGTCTAATAAAATATATAAGATATGTGGAGTTAGCACAGGATTTAGTTGCTCTAAAAAGCATCTATTTCTAACCTCAGAATAGTTAAAAACATATATTAAATTAAGTGACATCTCTATACATGACGCAAATGTACCTAATAGAGACCAAAGATGCCGCCGAATATTAATGAAGGTCCAATTTTTTCAATATTAAAAAGGTAAAGAGTTCTCTAAAAACCACCAACTTCAAACTTAACCAGTTAGTAAAATATTGAACGAGAAAAGAGACGTCCTCATCCTTACAGTCATTGAAAAACGTGCGCAGTTTAACGAAAAAATCAATCAATATAATATATATAGATAAGAAAAGTATAAATAATGAAAATGGAGCTAAGATAATCGAAATAAGCAATCGATTTTTTAGCCTATATAGGCTTTCTGATCTTTAAAATAATATAGTTAGCGAAGGCATTTAACAGAAATGCTGATGAAGGATGTTAGAGTATGAAGAAATGAAATGGAAACAAAGAGCTGAGTTGAGATGTATTCATCCTATTTCGTTTAGGGTGATAAAGGGACTGGTAGGTGAAATTTCCCACAAGGCTTCCATTGAATTTCGCATAGCCTTGCTTTCCCAAAAGTTATTCTCATCCAGCAAAAATGCCTGGCCTGCCTTGAAATTCACATCTGCTTTGCGACCCAGGGGCAATTGTGGCGTAGTGGTAAACGTATTGAGATCATACACTTTAGTGCCATACTTTAAATCCTGATGGGGATGTTGATAAAACCTAGGCGAGGTCGAAAATGTTGTCGACTGGATGAGAATAACTTTTGAGAAAGCAAGGCTATGTGAAATTTAATGGAAACGCCATGTATACAAGCATAATTGTAGATAAATTCAACTATCAGTCCCCTAAACGAAATAAGATTAATGCACCTCATGCATGATTTACTAGTAGTCTCAAAAGACCACTTTTAAAACGAAAAGATTTAAGCCATTTAATAAGCAATATGAGTTGCAAAGAAGCTTTATAAGATATTAAAATATAATTACATAGTATATATTAAGATTTAATAATAACCAAGTACAAGCATTACACGATTTGAAAGTAACTAACTTGCATCACCCGGCTTTCAAGAGTGAGTCGATCTACATCAGCCTTATATCGAAGGCCAAGATCCACTTGACGCTGCATGGCCTGGCAGAAGCGACGCATCCGATTTAAGTCATTATCAGACTGTTTTAGGCGATATTCGACTGAGCGCCATTGGCGATCTAGCGTGGCAGAAGAATCATCTGTTTCAGAAACATGAGGAACAGCTCGTTGTACCTCCAAATTGCTTTGGCGAGGCACTAGTTGGTCCATACTAATAGAATGTAAAGTATTCTGGGCAGTTCCATTCTCCAAAAGAACTGACTGGTGATGGGTCTCAGTGCTAGTGTGATTAGTAGACAGCTGCTGCGTAGACGATTTCGAGTGATGCTCAATAAACCAAGCCTTGAAGATCAATAAA